TTTTTTTTTTTTTTTTTTTTTTTTTTCCTTCCCCTCTCTCTCTCTTTCGCTCGTTGTGTTTCCCCTGCGCGCCTCATTAGAAGTTTTTTTTTTTCGTAGATTTTATGTTTTTTTTTTTAATAAATAATGTAAGCAAAAACAAAGTCGTCCAGCTGCGACCGGACGTTATTTGAATGACCCCGCCATGTTAACCGGCGGATGCTTGTTTTTCAAGCGGGGAAAGGTACTGGTGGCTTAAACCATTACTGTCTTCCCCCAAACGTAATGCATATGCGTTGTATTCAAATAAAAAGGAATATGTGCGTTGTATTCAAATAGAAAGGAATATGTGCGTTGTATTCAAATAGAAAGGAATATGTGCGTTGTATTCAAATACAACCTGTATGCGTTGTATGTGTTGTATTCGAATAGAAAGTGCGCACTGTATTCGTTTGCAACGCATATGTTATATTACCTTTTGTCGCCTATTCCGAAAATTTTGCGCTCGGGTAAGTTTGGTGTTCTACCAACTAAAGATAACTCGTTGACCCCACAAACTAGCATTGGTAGGACCTTAGCTGATGTTGTTGGCTGCTATGCAGCGACAATATTGACCATTAGACACCACCGTGTGGGGTTGAGGGGGGGTACGGGGAGGTGCAGTAGCTGGCCATTGCTCGGCGTTAACACCGCCGATTTGCCCCATCGGCAATGCCTTCCTACCCCTCGTCACCGTGATGAGGGACTGATACAACCTTGTTCTCACACCACAATTGTGGTGCCAACCTACCCCGTGGGTTGGGGAGAGATCCGGGTTGGTTGGTGTTTTTCCGTACTATGTATAGACTAGTGAAAGGATGAGATACATGCGTACTACAAAAAAAAATGAAATAGATGAAAGAATAATATAATATAACTTACCTTTAAAAAAACAAATATTTTTGAAATGCCCTTGAAGTTTGCATTTATTTGCAATTTTACCCTCCGACGATCGACTTACCCTGATTTGCCCCTTGGCCTCTGGACTCTTGTGCAGACCCCTATAAATAAGGGGCACAACTTTGTGAAATGCCCCTACCCGACCGACGGTCCTATTTCCCTTGATGCCTGTCCGATTTGCCCTTGTACGTGGGATGCATATTCTTGAGATGCCCTCTTGCAGGGAGGCGCTAAGAAATTGAATTCAACCCCCATACTTTTCCAGGCCGCACGAAAAAGAAAGGGATGCACACCATCGTGTAATGCATTCTTCTGTTGTTGCAATCCACCGTGTAGTGCATTCTTCAGCTACTGTGACCCGTCGCCACCTTGTCCGTGATGTACGTTGGCGAAGTTCAATGTTCCTCACCTTGTTCCACGTCTCTCTCTCTCTTTCTCTGTCTCTCTCTCTCTCTCTCTCTCTCTCTCTCTCTCTCTCTCTTTCTCTCTTTCTCTCTCT